TATAATTTTTTTTAAATTATAAAACTATACTTTAGTTTAGATTTTTTATTCTGTGTAAAACACAAAATTAATTTGATGTCTCCTATATGCAGTTGCTGAAAAGGTTTAAGATACGATGAAAGAGTTATAACACATTAAATATGATGAATCTCATATAAATTCAAAGCCATCTGGAAGTATGTGAACGTTTTCACTTTGTACTTGTATATATTTTAATGCTAGTGAAATTTTCCTTCTATGTTAAATTTTATCACTTTGTACTTGAATATTTTCATTGCTGGTATTTAAGGGCAAATATGGACAAAAACTCATTTTTATAACATTTAAAAAAATCTAATCTGATTTAAAAACTTGAAGAAAATCCAGTCACTAGTAAGAAAGTGAGCAATTAAACTTTTCAGGTCACCTTTAAAAACCCTCACTTCATATTGGATTATGTTTACGAAAATGTCAAAAGACCACTTAATTGAGACGTGTAAAGGAATAATTTGGAAGGAATTAACTATTTAAAAGGAAGAAGTTATTATGACATTGTGAAAAAAATGTTTTGCATTGAATACTGAAGTATTCTTTATACTATCGTTTGAAAATAAAAATGTCCGATATTAAGATTAATCATGTGGTAAATATAATTTAGTTTCTATAAATCATTTGTATTCAAAGCAAAGTTCCATTGTTTCATAAATACAATATAATTGTAATTTTTTTTTAAATCAGTCCAGTTGGAAACAATTAATTGTTTGTTTTTTTTCAAAATTTTTACTTAACATTTCGCACAATAACTAAACGTAAAATGTATTCATTTTGAGTCGATTTTTGAAATTTTACTTCTTTTCAGAGACACCGAATCTTTTCTGTCCCGGCAAAGCTGACATTGTTTTTGTGGTCGACGCCTCTGGAAGCATCGGGAAGTCCAACTACGAAATAGTCTTGTCATTTGTTACAAATATAACAGCTGTTCTAGCCAGCGGCGTGCCTAGTGACGTCAGATTTGGAATGGTCGTCTACAGTGGAAACGTTACCCAGGTGTTTAACTTGAACACATACAACGATATTCAGGAGATTCAAAAGGTAATGACAACGTGACACTGCTGGAATCGCAAAACTAGGAAAAAAATTGATAAGATCATATAAAGTTTAATCATAAAAATTGGGCTAAAAATATGTTACATTGCGTATTTAGAAAGTAATGTATCATATTTTTAGCCCAACTTTTAGAAAGTAATTGAAATGATGAATTTTAACCTAGTACTTAACTCGGTGCAGCTATTTACATCGGTTCCGGCAAGTTTGAGAAATGTTCCAGTTGTTACAAAATAAAGAGTTAACGTCTCATTCTCTTTAATTTATTCCGGCCCTTAAACAATAGTCCTACAGACAATCCTAAGACAGTGCCATAGACTTTCCCCCACACCAAACCCATTGTTCTTCATCGATTAACATGATAGATAATATTTGACGGACTGCATTCAAGCTGTGTAAATGAAATAGTAGAAAAGGGTATGTTGAAGCGTGAATCAATAGACGGGACAATAAGTTTTGAAAGTTTTAGCCTAGAGCATTCTTAAGTGAACTTTACAAATGCAAATTTGTCTTAACTTGATCTGTTTCTTTTTGTATTTTCATTTATCTTTTTTTTTTCTTTTTTCTTTTTTTTTTTTTTTTTTTTAAGTGTTTGGTTGGGGGAAAAAAATTATTATTTATTTTTTTTTTTTTTTTTTTTTTTTTTTTTTTTTTTTTTTTTTCTTTTTTTTTTTTTTTTTTTTTTTTTTTTTTTTTTTTTTTTTTGAAGTGATCGGTAGGAGGAAAAAAATCATTATTAATTTTTTATAAAGTAGTCCTTTCCAGGGAATAAATAGCTTGGAATAAGCAACTTTATAAATATAAAGTCATTTATTACTTCGATTGTGTACTTACAAAAATTCAGGCCATCGCCACAGCTCCCTACTTCGCGAGCGTCACAAGAACAGACGCAGGATTAGACCTGGCACGTGAAATGTTGACCAGTGAAGGACGGGTCCATGCTTCACATATAGTCATACTACTGACCGATGGAATATCTACTGCCCGTGACCAGAGTAAGTCAAGCAACACAAGGAATTCCCCGCTGACGATTCATTTTGACAAGTTTGAAATTGCTGAAGCCAAAATTAATTTGGATGATTTATTCCATTTATAAGTAATGATTTAATAATGCGAATAGTGTTAGGACCTTTTGTTGGAAACAGTTGATACCATCTTGGCTAAAAATCTCAATATGTTCAACTTTGCATTTATCAAATTAATGTAATCTATTTTGTTTAAATTTGTAATTGTACTTTTTTATGATTAGATACTTTATTATGTTACTTTAGAATTTAGATTGACATGTATCGAATGCCAGATTTAGAGTAACTCATTTTGACCATGCAGAAGCAAATTATTGTTATTCAAATGTGTCTAGGATTATGCAAGAGCCTACACAAGCTTAAACGAAATATACGCATATATATTTTGAACAATTTTTTGAAAATAATGGACTAAACGTCACTTAATCAGAGATGCCAAAGCCAAATTAGAGATTGTAGGCAATAAATTAACCATTGCAAAAATCTGTTTACGAAGCAATATCATAACGTTTGTATTAAATTTAACATAATGAAATATTTATTTTTTAATTAATATGTTTCCATATTTTATTTCAGCCAAACTGGCAGCCCAGAGACTCAGAGACAACAACATCACGGCTATTTCTATAGGCGTCACTGACGCAGTTAATCCTTTTGAACTTAACGAGATCAGCTTGCCAGGCAACGTGCTTCTTGTTGGCGAATTCTACCTGTTACGGAATGTATTAATCCACCTGGCAAGACAAACGTGTAAAAGTAAGTGGTCAGTTGTAACTGTTACAGTCCTATTGGTCATAATGACTATACAAAACTATCAAAGGAAGTGGTCAGTAGTAATGTCACGTTTTTATCTAACTGCCTAGACAAACAAATGAAAGTAATTGAGAGTGATCAGTTCTACCTATGACACAATTCCGTATTATATGAGACTATACATACACGTGAATATAGCGCAGCTCGCTATCAGACCTAAATAATACACATCCTATCACTCCAAAGTTCCACTCAAGACTGCCGCACGACTAAAACATACGTCACAACACTGCATAGACAATACGTCACGACTCAGCATAAAAATACGTCATAAATACAATGGCGGGAAGAGCGTTCACTAACTATAATAGTCAAGCGCGAGAAAAGCGTTCAACAACTAATGAACATAATATTGAGTCGCAACAATTGCTAATGAACGCTCATACTCGACAGCAGAGACATTTAAAAAATAAGAGCATTAAAAACAAAACTTAAATAAACCCATTTTTTTTAAAAATACTCATGAACCGATTTTGAATATTTCAGTCGTTGCAGTGGGACCGAGTGGTGAGTTTCAATGTTGTAGCCCATTGAAATAAATTTTTCATTTGCGCATTTGCCTTTTTTCGTTCCACAGCTACCATTATCTTGCCTTATATGTTGTTGAATATCAATCTAACATTGCCACTAAGTTTAAACAATGGTCTCATTTTTTTTTCTCAACAGAAACCTTAAGTTATTGCAGTGCCGGTGTTAGATATAAACGGTACACGGCTTTAGATATAGACGGTATACACGGTTTTAGAAATAGAAGTTAGACACGTCATTAGGTATAGACGATATACACGGTTTTAAATAAACACGGTATACACGGCTTTAGATGAAGACGTTATACACGTCTTTAGAAATAGACGGTATGCACGGCTTTAGATGTATACGGTATACACGGTTTTAAATAAAGACGGTATACACGGCTTTAGATATAGACGGTATACACGGCTTTTGATATAGACGGTAAACATGGCTCTAGATATAGACGGTATACACGGCTTTTGATATAGACGGTAAACACGGCTCTAGATATAGACGGTATACACGGTTTTAAATAAAGACAGTAAACACGGCTCTAGATATAGACGGTATACACGGTTTTAAATAAAGACAGTAAACACGGCTTTAGATATAGAAGGTATACGCGGTTTTAGATATAGAAGGTATACACGGCTTTAGATATAGACGGTATACACGGCTGCATAGAGCGACCTTTTCAAGTGGCTGCAAATTCCTGTGAAAAAAAAAGGGGTGGGGGAAGGGAAAAGTTGATAAAAATAATGAAAACAAAAAAATATTTAAAAAACTCTTAATTTAGCCTAAAATCGTGCCCAATAAATATACATAACAATTAGCCACGTTGAATTTGAGCATCACCCTTAAAACCCATGTTCCTACATAACTAAGTACATACTTCATGCTCTGGCCTCGGACGGAAATTTTAGAGGTAGCATTCCTCCCTGGGCGGGAGTCTTTTCTATAGTTCAAAGTGCAGCAATTTCTGCAAATAGCTGAGGTTTTTTCTGTTTACGAGAGGGGGGCAAAGAGATTTGTCAACCCCTAGCTGCTTCTACTCTCGCTACGACATTGAATTTATACACACGCTCTGACAGCCCATAAAAACTACGTTATGGCACTAATAAAGACAACTGACACCTAGAAATCTCTGTCTACACCTAGATTTGTTTTTTATTTTTGTAACAGTAATATTTAGCTTTGTGCCAGGCTAGGCGAACTTTTTCTGGTCATGACCTCATTAAATATGTTTACGCACATATTATATGTATATATATATATATATATATATATATATATCTTCGTTCAAGAGAGTTTGGTTGCCTTAGCTACAATATCCATCGAAACGCAGGTGTAGAAGAGAGAGCTTTTTTTTTTTTTTTATCTGAAATAGTTAAGTATTTTGTTTCTGTTAAGGCGAGAAAAGCATACGTATTTTCTTAAATTAAACAGTTAATTGTAAGATACTCTTATCACTTTAATAAATTTAGCTTGTACGGGATCTTTATGTTTAAATGAATTTTGACAATTGATTATGAATATAAGAATGTGTGTTACTGTTCTTTTATTTAGTTACCAGTCTAGATATCAAGGAAACCAGTGAGTACATTCTTCTTTTATGTTATAATAATCTAAAGTATAAGTAAAATGTGTTACATTATATAGTAAGTTTTCTAAAATTATATCGGTAAAATCATTTCACATTTAAAACTATAACTTGAGTTAATATTTCATGGGTTTGACAAAACATACATCAAACTTTGCACCCACCCATCCTTGCATACAACAATTCATCAATCATTTCATTCATCCACACATCCATTCATTTATTCCCCCATCCATACACTCGTCTATAGAGCCGTTACTCATCCATCCATGAATCCACCTTTCAAAACATCCATCCATCCATCAATCAGCTCCTATTTAAACCCATCCACCATTACAAAATTTCACTCGTTCACTATTTAAAAACTCATTTCAGCTGTTTTTATTAGCACAACACCAAGTACTACAGGTGAGCAATCAGTTTTTTTTATATTTTATTTCTGTCTTTCATTGATCTTTAACTGTTTTCCACACACTATCTTGCCATCCGCTGTAACACTACTTTTATTTTACTGAGTTTGTATTCACTTTGTAATGCACGTGTCTTATGAATATTAACTTTACTGTTGCTAATGCATTCTCCACTTTTCTGTCATTTCCTCTCTTTCCGTGCAACGTTCGACCTTTATACGTGTATGCATTTTATTTAAAAACATGTTTTTCATTAAATTTTCAAAAATAAAATTTGATTTCAACTCTTTCAGAAAATGCAGTTACTGGTAGACATAATTAAATATTATTTGAGGTCTTCTTTAAAGAACAAAAACATTCTAATTGACAATTGTTGGTGCAGTTTTATAATGCTAAATATTAAGCATACAATAGAAAATTTTAACATATTTTTATTTACATATATTTCCTTAATTTAAAACCAATGTGTGCTGTACACTCCTATAGAAAATCAAGTTATTTATAACCAATTATTTTTTTTTCAATAAACTTTGTTTTACTAGATTTTTAAAACAAAATACTTTTCAAAATTTTTTATTAAACAGTTTTCTCAAGGAAAGGGATATTTTTTAAAAAAAATATTTCTACTTTTGTAAGATATGTTTTTTTTTCTGTTCTCCTTTTATAAAACATTAATATTACACTTACGCACAAACAAAATGAAACTTATTTAAGATGTATTAAAAATAATTTATTATTAAAAAAAATCAAAAACAGAATAATTCTAAAGTATTTGTTCAAATTATTGTTTGAATTGAACGTTGCAGTTATTGTGATTATTTAGAATGTTGTTTGAGAAAAGTTTGTGGAGTTTTTTTTTGTAATTAATTATTTTTAATTTCAGACGCCACGACTGTTTTCTGTCCGGGGAAGGCTGACATCGTTTTTGTGGTCGACGCCTCTGGAAGTATCGGGGAGACCAACTTCCAAATAGTCTTGTCATTTGTTACAAATATAACAGCTGTTCTAACCAGCGAGGGGCAGAGTGACGTCAGATTTGGAATGGTCGTCTACAGTGAAAGAGTGACAGAGGTGTTTAACTTGAACACATTCAACACTATTCAGGAGATACAAAAGGTCAGGAGAACGCGACAGTGCTGGAGTTGTAAAAGTAGACATGAATGAAGTAATTTATTGTATATAATTTTTTTTTTTAAATAGGAGTTAATATATTTTCAATTACTTCCAAATCAAAATAAATATTTTATAGCCTTCCAATAACGCAACACTGCAATTATATTAATTCGACTATCCCTACCTGGATAAGTATTCCATCATTTTGAAACAATTTTGTTTGGAAGATTGTTTATTGTGAAAATGTTGTACATCTATGTTTAGGGGAATGGTTAATTTTTAAAATTATATTTTAATACATTAATAGTATAGGGAAGACAACGCTTTGTTGTCATGAGAAGTTTTTAAGACAACGAAAAGTTTTAAAAAATAGATTTAGTCAAATATTATGAATGTGTTGGGGGGGGGGGAAAATTCCCTTGGGCCCCCGGGGGGGGGGGGGGGCAAGGGGGCACTTGCCCCCCCCCCGGATTGATTGGATAAAAAAAAAAAGACAAAATTAGACACAAAATTTATTAAAGTAAAGAGAAAATAAAGAGAAAGTAACTAAGCTGATGTCCTGTCCATTCGTTCACCATACAAATACGCTACAGAACATTAAAACTACATTAAAACTACATTAAAACATTACTAAAAAATTCCCCCCCCCTGGAAAGTTAATCGATTTTTGTCCCCCCCCCCCCCTTAGAAAGTTTTCTGCGGGCGCCCTTGAATATAGCTATATAAAAACTCCATGAAAATAGCTTTCCAGTTAAAAATTAAAAATAAAACCCACATATGAGTATTCCTTAAATCTCCTCCCAGCATGAGTTTCAGGCCTCTCTTCATTTCGAAAGTGTGTTGCTCCTCACCTTGCTGGCTCACCAAAACATAACCTTGTTAAAGCAATTACGTTCTCACTTTCATTTCATTGAAACTCATCTTAAGTGCAGTAAAGTGATTTATTTCCTTGTTAACGCCTTGTGTTCTACACTAACTATCTCTCAGGCCATCGCCACCGCTCCGTACTTCGCGAGCTTCACGAGAACAGACAAAGGATTAGACCTGGCTCGTGAAATGTTGACCAGTGAAGGACGGGTCAATGCCTCACATATAGTTATACTACTGACCGATGGAATATCTACTGCTCGTGACAAGAGTGAGTCAAGTATCCCAAGGAATTAAACTGTTATGGTTCATTTTGGCAAATTTGAAATGTTCATTTTTACAACTTTGAATGGTTCAATTTGGAAACATTAAATGGTTCATTATGACAGATTAATAAGACACGAACAAATTGTGTCAATAGAACATTATAAGTTACGCTTTAAAAATAATTATATATAATACACAATTAAACGTTTCGGCACATGCCTCCATCAGTACAAACAAACAAAACACATTTAAATAAGAATAAATTAAATTTACATAATATCAATCTACATATCCTACCTAAAACAGAAAAAATATAGGAGAGTGCACTGCGCTAAAACCAGACAAAACCAAAGTAAAGAGGAGTAGAAAGGAAGTGATTTTAGCATAATTGTAAAAACCAAACAATGAAAAAGACATGGCAGCTAAGTAAAATTGTGGATTTGGTTCATTCCATATGGAGACAACGTACCAAATCTAGTTATTAATTTGCTCTCCATATAGATTCTATCTGCAGTGTTACTAGTATAGAGTATACCAGTAACTGCAATGTCTGAGATACCATCATGGTTAGGGCTATTGAAATGTTTGGAGACCGGGCGGAGAGCGTGTTTATTTATGTTACAGAGGTGCTCTCTGAAACGGTCCCCAAGGCAACGACCTGTCTCTCCTATGTATAGTTTACCGCACTTTTTTGCAAATGATGGTGTAAATCACGTTGCGACTTGTGCAGGTAAAGCCATCTTTTATTTTGCAAATGATGGTGTAAATCACGTTGCGACTTGTGCAGGTAAAGCCATCTTTTATTTTGCAAATGATGGTGTAAATCACGTTGCGACTTGTGCAGGTAAAGCCATCTTTTATTTTGCAAATGATGGTGTAAATCACGTTGTGACTTGTGCAGGTAAAGCCATCTTTTATTTTGCAAATGCTGGTGTAAATCACGTTGTGACTTGTGCAGGTAAAGCCATCTTTTATTTTGCAAATGATGGTGTAAATCACGTTGTGACTTGTGCAGGTAAAGCCATCTTTTATTTTGCAAAGATGGTGTAAATCAAGTTGCGACTTGTGCAGGTAAAGCCATCTTTTATTTTGCAAATGATGGTGTAAATAACGTTGCGACTTGTGCAGGTAAACTCATCTTTTATTTTGCAAATGATGGTGTAAATCACGTTGTGACTTGTGCAGGTAAAGCCATCTTTTATTTTGCAAATGATGGTGTAAATCACGTTGCGACTTGTGCAGGTAAAGCCATCTTTTATTTTGCAAATGATGGTGTAAATCACGTTGTGACTTGTGCAGGTAAAGCCATTAAAGCCATCTTTTATTTTGCAAATGATGGTGTAAATCACGTTGTGACTTGTGCAGGTAAAGCCATCTTTTATTTTGCAAATGATGGTGTAAATCACGTTGCGACTTGTGCAGGTAAAGCCATCTTTTGTTTTGCAAATGATGGTGTAAATCGCGTTGCGACTTGTGCAGGTAAAGCCATCTTTTATTTTGCAAATGATGGTGTAAATCACGTTGCAACTTGTGCAGGTAAAGCCATCTTTTATTTTGCAAATGATTGTTTGTACTGATGAAGGCATGTGCCGAAACGTTTAATTGTGTATTATGCATAATTATTATTAAAGCGTAACTTATATTGTTCTATTGACACAATTTGTTCGTGTCTTATCAATCTATTTTAAAGCTTTATCGCAGTCCAACACTTTTCATTTTGACAATTTTGAATGGTTCATTTTGGCAACTTTAAATGTTTCATTTTTTGCAATTTGAAAATGCTTACGTAACATAAATTGTTTGATCTCTTCCGTTAATAGAATATTATTTGATAATTTAAAGAATCCTTTTCCCTTTATTTTGAACCAAACAAACGAATTTGAAATTTAAACAATGCTGGCTAAACGTCTGGTTGTGTTTACTTCGGATTTCTTATTTGGTTCTTTGACATATCCTATTTCTTAATCCTGTTAGTTTATTCTAGTTCTAAATCCTATTAGTTTATCCTAGTTCTAAATCCTATTAGTTTATCCTAGTTCTAAATCCTATTAGTTTATTCTAGTTCTAAATCCTATTAGTTTATCCTAGTTCTAAATCCTATTAGTTTATCCTAGTTCTAAATCCTATTAGTTTATCCTAGTTCTAAATCCTATTAGTTTATCCTAGTTCTAAATCCTATTAGTTTATCCTAGTTCTAAATCCTATTAGTTTATCCTAGTTCTAAATCCTATTAGTTTATTCTAGTTCTAAATCCTATTAGTTTATCCTAGTTCTAAATCCTATTAGTTTATTCTAGTTCTAAATCCTATTAGTTTATTCTAGTTCTAAATCCTATTAGTTTATTCTAGTTCTAAATCCTATTAGTTTATTCTAGTTCTAAATCCTATTAGTTTATTCTAGTTCTAAATCCTATTAGTTTATTCTAGTTCTAAATCCTATTAGTTTATTCTAGTTCTAAATCCTATTAGTTTATTCTAGTTCTAAATCCTATTAGTTTATTCTAGTTCTAAATCCTATTAGTTTATTCTAGTTCTAAATCCTATTAGTTTATTCTAGTTCTAAATCCTATTAGTTTATTCTAGTTCTAAATCCTATTAGTTTATTCTAGTTCTAAATCCTATTAGTTTATTCTAGTTCTAAATCCTATTAGTTTATTCTAGTTCTAAATCCTATTAGTTTATTCTAGTTCTAAATCCTATTAGTTTATTCTAGTTCTAAATCCTATTAGTTTATTCTAGTTCTAAATCCTATTAGTTTATTCTAGTTCTAAATCCTATTAGTTTATTCTAGTTCTAAATCCTATTAGTTTATTCTAGTTCTAAATCCTATTAGTTTATTCTAGTTCTAAATCCTATTAGTTTATTCTAGTTCTAAATCCTATTAGTTTATTCTAGTTCTAAATCCTATTAGTTTATTCTAGTTCTAAATCCTATTAGTTTATTCTAGTTCTAAATCCTATTAGTTTATTCTAGTTCTAAATCCTATTAGTTTATTCTAGTTCTAAATCCTATTAGTTTATTCTAGTTCTAAATCCTATTAGTTTATTCTAGTTCTAAATCCTATTAGTTTATTCTAGTTCTAAATCCTATTAGTTTATTCTAGTTCTAAATCCTATTAGTTTATTCCAGTTCTAAATCCTATTAGTTTATTCTAGTTCTAAATCCTATTAGTTTATTCTAGTTCTAAATCCTATTAGTTTATTCTAGTTCTAAATCCTATTAGTTTATCCTAGTTCTAAATCCTATTAGTTTATTCTAGTTCTAAATCCTATTAGTTTATCCTAGTTCTAAATCCTATTAGTTTATTCTAGTTCTAAATCCTATTAGTTTATTCTAGTTCTAAATCCTATTAGTTTATTCTGTTTCTTAATGATATTAGTTTATCCTATTTTTTTAAATCCCACTTTATTTTTTACATTAGCCTATTACTTTGTCACATTCTGTGATGAAAAACATGATTACTATAAGTAAAAACAAGAGTGACACATTTAACGTGACATGATTAGAGTGACCCATTTAGTGTGACATTTTCTATTGTGATACAGATCTGGTTACGATATCATTAGAGCTGACATATGCTAAAATCACAACACCCATTTAGATAGAACTACTTTGGAATAAAAGAAACCTAATCAGAGATAGCCAAAGCAGAAACAAATTATCCACTGCAAAGCTCTGTTTACAAAGCACAAAAGGATTTTCTGTTCATTAACTTATATAAAATTAATTAATTTAAAAAATAAGATTAGTGTGTTTGTAATTTATTTCAGCCAAACTGGCAGCCCAGAGACTCAGAGACAACAACATCACCGCCTTGTCTGTAGGCGTCACTGACGCAATTAATCCTTTTGAACTGAACGAGATTAGCTTGCCTGGCAACGTGTTTCTGGTTGGCGAATTCTACCTGTTACAAAATGTCTTAAGCCGGCTGACTAGACAAACATGCAGAAGTAAGTGGTCGGAGTGGTCAGTAGTAATTGTTACAGAATGTCTTACACCAGCTGTCTAGACAACCATGTGAAAGTAAGGGGTCAGAGTGGTTAGTTTTACTTATTACATAGCGTCTTATTCCATATGGCTTTACCATGTGTAAATGTAAGTGATGAAACGTACCTATTACATAATGTCTAATTTCATTACACTATACAAATTTATGTTAGTGGTCAGTTCTAATTATTGCAGAATGCTCTCCATCTGAAAACGCAAAATTCGTAAACGTTATGTGGTCAGGTATTAATCTTACATAATTTAATAATGTTATTCACACTTATACACCAATTAATACACATTTATATATTAATTCTTACGCACCTATATAACGTTTTCAAACAAAAATTCAAAAACGTTGAAGTAAATGAACCAAAGAATCTCAAACGTTACGTGTTGCAGCAGCATTTCAAATTTAGCAACGTTAACTTTAATTTAAATAAACAGTTGTCTACACATTTCTTCAATTTATGAACGGCTTTTGCATCTTTCAGTTGTTGCAGTAGGACCGAGTGGTAAGTTTCAGTGTTGTCCTTTAGTCAACTAGCTTTTTTTTTTTTTTTTGTTTGTTGCCTATTTGAATGTTGTCGTACTATTTATATCCATATTCAGCTATTTGTTTTGTTCTATATGAATTTAAGTTGTCACTCGGTTTACACCATTGCCCCACCTTTCGTTCAACACAACTCTTGCGTTCTAACTTTGCCGGTTCTGGGTATAGGCGGTATAAGCAGCTGCATAGTGGTGGAAAATTACAGAAAAAGGCGACACCATAATCGGGCATAAAAAATAATGGAGCGAAAAATAGATTTGTATATTCTAAAAAAAAAAAAAACGCTACATTTACTCGAAAATGCCACCTTTAGTATATAGAAAAATGTGCCACCCTAAATTGGAACACCCGTACTGACCCCCTCCTCATGCAGCACAAAGAGCGTACACTATCCCCTTGCTTAGGAATTCACGTTTGGAGGTAGAATTTTGCCTTCAGCGGGACTTTTGTCTATATAATGGAAGTGCATCATTTTGCTTTTTTTTTTTTTTGATGTAAAGGAGGGGGGCAAAGATTTTAGCTCGGCCCTTGCTGCATATTCCCTCGCCACGAATTTTTATTTATAATCACATTCTGCATTAATTAACATTGAATTCTGACACCACATGAAAACTTATTTATATGTCTTATAACGACAAATGTCACATTGAAAACAGCAATATTTAGTTTTGTTCAAGGGTAGGCAAACGTCTTTTGTCTATGCATCATAAGATATTTTTAGGTTATCCCCTATTTATAAAAAATAAAAGAAAATCATAGACTTTTTTAAAGTTCAAAATTATTTATTGAATCTATAGGAACAAAACAACTTAGAAATATTAAAATTTCAATTTAACTCAATAATTCTTCGAAAAATACCGTATTTATTGGCGTATAATACGAACTTTTTCTCCCTGAAAATAGGGGGCAAATGATGTGTGCGTGTTATACGCCGATATAATGTTTAGTTTTTTTTCCTGAAATTTCCTTCTGAAATTGAGGTGCGTATTATACTCGAGGACGTGTTATACGCCAATAAATACGGTAATTATATTTTGTGGGAATCAAAATTTGAACTTCAATCAGGTGAACATGTTCGTTAATAATCCCTTTTACTGATGTTGTTCCGATAAAAAAAAAAGTTTTCGAATTACAAGCTCTTTAATAACATATTGTTTTTATATCGTATCGCAAGATAGTTTAGTTGGTTTAGTTACGATATCCATAGAAATTCGGTTGCAGAAGAGATGTAAATATCTAAGAATGTTAATTTTATAGTTTTGGTAAACAAAAAAAGCATATTATTTTAATAAAATTTTCTAGTACAAGATTTTTGTGTCTTTAAATTTTTTGCAGCATCTAATAAACCATTTTCAAATAATCTTTAAAATTTTCAAAAGACAAGCAAAAAACAACTCTTAATGATAAAAAAAAAAAACTTGAAAATTTTAATATTTTCGTTTCAGTTCTAATTTAAGTCTTGTTAATGTGATAAACATATTAAATTACATTTTCATCATTCTGATAGATCCTAAAAAAAAAGAGTAAAGAAACATAGAAAACGTATAAATATATAAAATAATGAGAAAGCATTTCGTAATCTTCCCTTTTTCACAAAGGTTGCAAACGCCGGCATCAGTTGTCACTAAGCTGAAGTTTGTCAAACACAACTCTCAAATTTCCACATAATTTGATCGACGGCCTCATGATTTGTTAAGAAGAACTCTTACATTTGTGTATGCTATAGTTTTGTCGTTTAGCTACACTATACATAGAAACTCGGGTAGACAAAAGAGATATCTGATATAGTTAAGATTGTTGTTTCTGCTAAGGCGGGAAAGGAATATTTTTTTTCATAGAATAAAAGGATAATATACTTTTTATTCTTTTGCTTTACATGATATTTCTTTTAGTAGAATACGTTTGTAAAATACTCTTCAGAAACTAATCAACATTCTTCAAATATAGAATGATTTTTTTAAAATGACTTTTAATGCTATATAAGAGACTTGCAAATTCAATCATTTTAGTTTAAGTTGAAACAAAAAATAATCAAAATTCTAATAGAATTTAATAATTCCTATTTATAACAAAACAATTGAGACGAAATGGATGCAAATCAAATAGAAAACTGATCTAAGTTCATGATTAAGAGAAGGCATTTCGTGCTCTCGCCAGAAGCAAGGAACTTGATGGCATTAAGTGTTCACTAACATTAAGTTAAATCTTTATGTATTGTTAAACACAACTCTCACGTTTATACCAAGTTTGTGACATGGCACCGTTTAATTTTCCACAGAACTGTCACGTTATCACTAAACTTAAGTCATGGTTCCATGATTTGTTTAACACAATGCTTACATTGTCATTAAGTTTAAACCATGGCTCAATGATTTGCTTAACACAATGCTTACATTGTCATTAAGTTTAAACCATGGCTCAATGATTTGTTTAACACAATGCTTACATTGTCATTAAGTTTTAACCATGGCTCAATGATTTGTTTAACACAATGCTTACATTGTCATTAAGTTTTAACCATGGCTCAATGATTTGTTTAACACAATGCTTACATTGTCATTAAGTTTTAACCATGGCTCAATGATTTGTTTAACACAATGCTTACATTGTCATTAAGTTTTAACCATGGCTCAATGATTTGTTTAACACAATGCTTACATTGTCATTAAGTTTTAACCATGGCTCAATGATTTGTTTAACACAATGCTTACATTGTCATTAAGTTTTAACCATGGCTCAATGATTTGTTTAACACAATGCTTACATTGTCATTAAGTTTAAACCATGGCTCAATGATTTGTTGAACACAATGCTTACATTGTCATTAAGTTTTAACCATGGCTCAATGATTTGTTTAACACAATGCTTACATTGTCATTAAGTTTTAACAATGGCTCAATGATTTGTTTAACACAATGCTTACATTGTCATTAAGTTTTAACCATGGCTCAATGATTTGTTTAACACAATGCTTACATTGTCATTAAGTTTAAACCATGACTCAATGATTTGTTTAACACAATGCTTACATTGTCATTAAGTTTAAACCATGGCTCAATGATTTGTTTAACACAATGCTTACATTGTCATTAAGTTTTAACCATGGCTCAATGATTTGTTTAACACAATGCTTACATTGTCATTAAGTTTTAACCATGGCTCAATGATTTGTTTAACACAATGCTTACATTGTCATTAAGTTTAAACCATGGCTCAATGATTTGTTTAACACAATGCTTACATTGTCATTAAGTTTAAACCATGGCTCAATGATTTGTTGAACACAATGCTTACATTGTCATTAAGTTTAAACCATGGCTCAATGATTTGTTTAACACAATGCTTACATTGTCATTAAGTTTAAACCATGGCTCAATGATTTGTTTAACACAAAGCTTACAGTGTCATTAAGTTTAAACCATGGCTCAATGATTTGTTGAACACAATGCTTACATTGTCATTAAGTTTAAACCATGGCTCAATGATTTGTTTAACACAATGCTTACATTGTCATTAAGTTTTAACCATGGCTCAATGATTTGTTTAACACAATGCTTACATTGTCATTAAGTTTAAACCATGGCTCAATGATTTGTTGAACACAATGCTTACATTGTCATTAAGTTTTAACCATGGCTCAACGATTTGTCAAACATAAATCTCTTATTTTCATTAAGATTGAAACATGGTTCCTAGTTTTAATAAACACAGCTCTTAATTTTTCACTAAGACTAAGCCATGGCTCTTTGTTGTGTTAAACACAGCTCATAAATAGTCACTAACATTAAACTATGACTCCATGATTTGTTAAATACAACTTCAAAATGTCACTAAATATAATCCAAGGCTCCTTGTATTGTCCATAAGAATTTTTACGTAGTCACTCTTCTCCACAAAACAGCAAAAAGATGTTGACGAGATTTTTCTAGCTCGCATATGAAATTATTTTTACTTTGAATTGGTTCAATCATTGAGGTTTGGAAATTAAACACGTCAAAGTATTTTTTAAAAATGCGTCAGTGATTCACTTTTAGTCCATTTCAAGAATAAAATAAAGTTGTGTGGCGGAGCTAGTTTAAAACTTTACAACTCAACCTTTCTTTAATTTTGATTTTAAGATAATTTGTTACTGTTCTTTGATTTAGTTACCCAGCCAGATGTCCCGGAGACCAGTGAGTATATTTTTCATCATCTTATAATAAACTAAAAAAGTGGTTAAAATTTACCATCTATAGTAAGATGCACAAGATTACTTTTTTCAAAACATTAAACTTTAAATTGTAATCTGAGTTTATCTTTTATAAGTTTATCAAAACCCCCAACAACCATTGACCAACCCCTCACTCCATCAACCAGTTCATCAGTTAATTTATTCATCACGCATCCATACACTCATTTATCCACTCAATC